AAAAGAGAGAGAGAGTAAATGATAAAGCAAATGGGGTAAAATGTTAACCGTAAGTGAACCAGATTAAAGAGCATACAGTGTTTATTGCGTGATTTTTTTTTTTTGCTTTTTAGTGACAAGGCCTTGCTCTGTTGCCTAGGATGGAGTACAGTGATACAATCATAGCTCACTGTAATCTCAAATCCCTGGACTCAAGTGATCCTCTTGTCTCAGCCTTCCTGTAGCTAGGACTACAGGCATGTGCCACCATGCACAACTACTTTAAACAAATTTTAAATTGTCTTTGTAGAGATGGGGGTAGGGGTGGGGATGTCCTTTTGTTGCTCAGGCTGGTCTCAAACTCCTGGCCTCAAATGATCTTCCTGCCTTGGCCTCCCGAAGTGCTCGTATTACAGGTGTGAGCCACTGCATCTAGCCTCTTGTGATACTTTTAGCTTTGTAACTTTTTATTAGTTTGAAATTATTTCCAAATAAAAAGTTTGTTAAAAAAGTCCCTTATTTAAACAAAAATCTTTGTTGAAAGAAAAGAGTTTACTTCCAGCTCTGGACGTAGGAAGTAACTCCCATAATTCTAAAGAATCTGCTTTCATGTTATGCGATTTAGAGATAGGAGGTCTCAGTGTCATCTTATATGATCTACCGTCTAGAGCAGCAGCTCCTCTGAGAACTTCCCTGGTGGGTGGTTAGTTTACCTCTTCTTGGGCATGTTCAGGGATTCACAGTCTTAAAATGATGCCATTCCAGTCTAGAATGGTGAGATGGCTGTCTTACAAATGCTTCTATACTCCTCCTTATACGACTAATGCTATGTTGTAGTTAGACAACTACATAGGTCACAGTGGGTTTGGAAGATGAAAGCCTAAAGAAATGTACCCGATGTAGATGCTGCTTACGTGCCACTCAGAACGCTCCTACTAAGCCTCTGTTGGAATAATGGTTCTGGGTGGTCCAGCCCCTCCCAGGAGCTATGCCATACTTCTTCCTTCCTGCGGGTGCATAACTGATGCCCTAGCATGGGTCACCTTGGGGAACTGCTCTGTGCGCATGTCCATGCATCCTATATTTGTTGAAGAGTTAATACCCATAGGGCCATCCTTGATCAATGGAATGTGGGTGTGATGGTTCAATGTTTCTCTATGACAGTTTGCAGATGCATCTCACAGCTCTCCTGGGAAGGATGGGCGGGTGGAGCCCCAGTTGCCTTTCACAGTAGCTCATTCTTGTGCTGGCTTTCACTCTGTGCATCACTCCTCTCCCTGAGATCACTGCCTGAATAGCCCAAGCACAGACTTGTCTCAGGTTCTGCATCCAGGGGAAATCAGGCTAAGATAGCATCATTAGAAAAAAAAGTCTAAAACTCCTATGGGAGGGATGCTAATGGCTAATTTACCCAAATCCCACAGCTCAGCTGAATAGCCAAAGCAAGGGTAGTTTATCTTAAATAAATATCATTTTGGGACTCATTGACTTCTCTGCCTTTGCAACATATTCGCTTCCTTCAACTGTTTCTCCTTCTTCTAGTTCTCCCATTTTTTTTTTTTTAAGAGAGAGGGGTCTCACTATGTTGGCCAGACTGGTCTTGAACTCTTGGCTTCAAGTAACCCGTTAAATCCCCAAACAGTTGGGATTATAGGCATGAGCCACTGTGCCTGGCCTCTCCCCATCTTTTTATTCCTGTGTATCTCCATTCCATTGACCATTCATCTCCCTTCCCTCTTTGTTTTGTTTAATCTCTGGTCCTTCATCTCTTTCCACCTCATCCTCTTTCTGTCTCCTTTATGCCTTTGCTTTTTGTTTTTCTGTGATTCCTATTATCTTCTGCCCTTTCTGATTGTTGGTAAACACAGTTGAGAGCCAACCTAGCTTGTAAGACAATTGAATCCCGTGGCCTCACTCTCCTTGCATTGTCTCACAAACAGGAGAGCAAAAGGTGGGATTAGATTGTGTGCTCCCCCAAACTAAGGATTCCAAAGGCTTTGCTGGGTAATGATGGGATTGGCCTTAATAGGCATCCCATGAGTGTGAAAGAATTGGTGAGTGAAAGGTATGTAGAGGGATGATGGGGCTTTGATATCCCGTATAGCCATGAAAATCACAGACTTGGCTGTGGGTACTGGTCCTGGGTGTAGGGACCCCTCAGCCCAATCTTCTCTCCCCAGTTTCTGTTCTTTAGCTGGATCGTGGAAGTTTATGCATTCCTAGGAGTGGAAAATTAGAACCTGGAGAGGAGCTGGGAGACCCATGGAGAAATCTGAATCCTCACTGCTTCCCGCCAGGATAATGCAAAGCAAGGCCAGGTCTCCGTGGAGATGACTTGTTTTGATTTTCTATAAAACCACCCAAACATGTGCATTTGTTCACTTTTCAAATCCACTTTATTACCAAAACGAACAAAAGGAGAATGAGGCTTAAATTAAATAAATTATGCAAATATCTCAAGAGATAAGGTTCCCAGTCCTCCCTGGGAATCATATCATCACAGGTCAGTATCACTAAGAACATTAAAACGTGTTGAAATTCTGGATTATTTCACTACTTTGCCTCCATCCTTCCTGCTCCAACCAAGTCCAGAAGAGTGTTCTTTCCCAAATATTCAAGCAGAGATGTTTTCTTCAGTGTCTTCCCTCTGCCCCACGTGTTTCAATCTCGCCTCCACGGCGGGCCCTGTTCTCTCTGAGCCCCAACTCCAGGCCACTGGGCCAACAATCCCCTTCAGTTCCGAGGCTGTTCTGGGGGTTAAGGGTAACTTCGTCAAGTTCTCAGGGGATCTTGATACTTGGTTCAAAGGGGGCTCTGACTTGGGATGTCCTGAGGCTCCGTGACCTTCTCCCACCTCCTGGGCCTGAGCTAGACTTGGAAGGAGGTGGAGTAGGGGAGAGTGAGTTGTCATTGGCTAAGGCTCTTGTCCTCCTGGAATTTGGCACTTCGGGTGCTGGGCACGGTGAATCCCAGATAACATTGTCTTTCGCCTTCCAAGTTTTGAGTTCCATTGGCAGCCAGATGGCATAATGAATTCACAGAAAAGCAATACTCATGGGCCAAGAATGTGTTGGCTCTTGGCCAGCACCCCCTCCTTTAACTCTAAGAAGACTTGTTAGCTGACCAGCTCACTCAACACACAGACACACAATGCAGGTCTGGCTGAAGTTAGAAATTGGGATGTTTTCCTAGGCTGGGCCAGCCCAACCTGTTAGAGAAGGGGTCATTAAGTTGAAGAAGCCTGAGAAAAGCAGAGACGAGAGGCCAGAAGATTTTCTGTGCATTTCCATTGAAATTTTACAAAACACTTACACATGGAACCTATTTATTTTCAAGTCAACTGTGGGGTTCCTCTCAATACCTCCTTGTATATATGGAGAACTTAGCCCTTATTTTCATTTTCTTAGGAGAAGATGGCCTCAGGTCTTAAGGGTCTTAAGGAATCTTCCTGTGGAGGAAGACGCTATCTGGATCAGCCCCCTTCCACATCTGCATGCAGACAGGGGATGCAGCGGATCCTGGAGGACTTCCTCCCTTGCCTGCAGAAGAACCCCATCGTGGCTCTGGGCCACAAGCAGGTAAGGAAGAGTTAACATGATGGGCTCTTTTCCAGGTAAAGGACAAGGCAGATTTACCAAGGGGAGGCATTTCCCTGCTGGTCCCTGAGGTCAAGGGAGACTGTCGGGGCTCAGGTCCCATCAGTTTTTCCTGTGTTGGTACTAGCACCTTCCTCCCCTCTGAGTCTCTGGGTACAAAGAGGGATTCCCAAAAGCTTTTGTGCAGAATTGCTGGTATCTATTTCTAGGTTGCCAGAAGATTCTGCCAGCTACCGATCTCCCTCTTTGGGGTTTCTACCTAGCCTCCAGGGGAAGGGAGCAGCCTCTGAGGGTAGAGGCAGCAATGTTTCTGGAGGCTGAGGCAGAACATTAGTGGGCTGCCCCTGGGGAGGTAGCTCTGGTGGTCTTGATGGTCCTGGCCACTGTCCAGGCTAGAGTCTGATGTGCTGACAGCAGAGGTGGCTTGGGCAGCCTTGGGATGATGTGGGGGTCACATAGTTACCAAGGCCTTCCCTGGGTGCAGAGCTTCCAGAGACAGCGTTGAAGCAGCTGGGGAAGGCAAGCCAGAGTCCCAACCAAGTTTTTTCCTATGTCCCGTGACAGCCTGACACCATCTGACACCGAGCCATGAGGGCCCCGGGACACTTTTTGAAGCTTGCACAGGAGGCCAGCACAGTTGTACTTGTCCCTCTGTTTTTGGCTCACTTGTAAAAGCTGGAAGTCAAGGTGTCCTTCAGCTGCCAAGGACAGGGCCGAGGTGGGTGGGGTGGAGTGGTCAGGAGGCTTGCCCACTGTGGCCAGGGCCTGACGGGTGAAGACTGGCCCAGACTCTCACTCCTGTAAGGGTAGCACCCCCTGCTGCTGAGAGGCTCCCTCTGGAGATGCAGGGAGGGAAGGAGGGGAGGAGAAAGGGGGAGAGGAGAGAGGAATGCGGGCCCTGGGGGTGCACTTTCCTTCTCCCCACACTCCCTGCGACCCCGGGTTCCTCCTCTGTGGAAGTCCCAAGTGCCAGGCACTCTGTAGGCAGCGTGAGGACTGGCGGGGCCCTCACAGGGCGGTCAGGGTCTCTGTGTGAAACATACTCCCGAACATCTCCTGCAGGAGCCACCGGAAGGAAGTGGGAGGGGAAGAGAAAGGTTAGACCAGCTGGGGTCACAACCAAGTTGGCTGCAACCAAGAGGTGACCCTAGAAACCCCTGGCCAGAATGAGGCACCGCACATGCATGTGTGTGTGAGAGTGTGTGTATGAACAGGGGAGAGGCAGGGTCAGGCTAGGAGGTGAACCAGTCCGGCGTGCCAGAAGCAGGTGCTGAAATCTACATGTGAATTGCCTCCCGTGTGCTGTGTGACTTTCCATGTGTCCCTTGCCCGCTTTTAGCATCACTTCCTTCATTGAGTAAAATGAAGGTTTGCAGTGGAAAAGCTCTAGAGTCCTTTCTCGCTTTGATAAGCTATTTTGGTCCTTTCCAGGCTTTTTGGAATATGCTGGAGATTCCAAGAGGGCCCAGAAATCAGTCTGCCAGATCTCTGAGGCTCCAGCACTATTTTCTAATCTGTTCCACCTGCCATCAGCACTGTGAGAGATGGATTCAGAGGACCATGGAGCTCAATGTCAAAAAGAGTGGGAAGAGGCACAAAGAGAGACACTATTTCTCATAGACCCAAAGCCAGATTTCTCCAAACCTAGTCATCTGGTTTCTTTTAATTCAGGGCATTGGTGGGGTGGTGTTAATTTCTATGGGTCCTATGGGGATGGGGATGGTTTTGTTTTGTTTTGTTTGTTTGTTTTTGAGACAGAGTCTCACTCTGTCACCCAGGCTGGAATGCAGTGGCGCGATCTCTGCTCACTGCAACCTCCGCCTCCCAAGTTCAAGTGATTCTCATGCCTCAGACTCCCGAGTGCTGGGACTACAGGCATGTGCCACCATGCCTGGCTAATTTTCATAGTTTTAGTAGAGACGGGGTTTCTCCATGTTGCCCAGGCTAGTCTTGAACTCTTGACCTCAGGTGATCTGCCTGCCTCAGCCTCCCAATGTGCTGGGATTACAGGTGTGAGCCATTGCACCCAGCCACATGTCTTTTAGTTCTTAAGTCCTGTCCACATGCAATAATAATTCATTTGTAGCCCCAGAATTCGTCTATTCTACCAGAACATAAGTTTCTAAGAGGTAGAGGCCTTTGTTTTGCTCACTGCTGTGTGCCCATCCTGAACTCCGTCAGGCAAACACTAGGTACGCCGTAAATACCTGCTGAATGAGTGAAAGAACAAATGACTCCCATGCCAATCTTGTATGGCAGATGGGACAGGCATGACTTATGTTTCCCTAATTTCACAGGTGATAAAAACTAGGACCCAGGGTGTATGTGGCTCACCCGAGGTCACATGGGTGATGTGTTGGAGAGTAAGAATAGATACTAGTTCTCCAGGACTTGGTCCAGTGACTCACCATCTCCCCAGGATGCCTTTCAGGGAGTGAGCAGAATGAAAACAAAGGCTGGGCGTGGTGGCTTATGCCTGTAACCCCAGCACTTAGGGAGACCGAGGCAGGCAGATTGCTTGAGATCGGAAGTTTGAGACCAGCCTGGCCAACACAGTGAAACCCCTGTCTCCACAAAAAATACAAAAATTAGCCTGGCACAGGCCTGTAGTCCCAGCTACTCAGGAGGCTGAGGCAGGGGAACCGCTGGAACCCGGGAGGCAGAGGTTGGAGTTAGCCAAGATCATGCTACCCTAGTCTGGGCAATAGAGTGAGACTTTGTCTCAAAAAAAAAAAAAAAGAAAAGAAAAGAAAAGAAAAAACAATGAGCACAAATCTTTGTGGCCTTGAATGTGACTGCTGTGGGCTGGCGGTGAGACAGCCAAGTGAACACCTTGTACTTGAGAGCAACCCCGTCCTGCCCCTCCTCACCCTGCTCCCACCCTCACAGCCCTGTCCCTCAGCTCACCTGCTCTAAGTCCCAGTAGCCGGGGATGTCCTCCTCTGAGTCGTACAAGGAGAGCTCAGGGTCCCCTGGAGCCTGGAAGGGAGGAAGCCAGTGCAGAATGAGCTTCAGTGACTGAACAGCAAAGTTGGTGGATGGTGGCAGGAAGATGGACACGTGGCCAGCTTTGAGTGGACATTGCTTCCTGACACATGATTCATCCTCTTGCCCTTTCCCTCACCTGCCTAAAAACAGCACAGCTGTGGCCTTCTCCCTTATACCAGACAGGTGTGTATCAGGGTCTTCCCTCCTTTGTGGGCTATTAGAGGCAGGGAAGGTTTTACCCAGCTTAGAAAAACTACTGGCTAGCTGCCTGATCTTGGGGAATTCCTGTCCTCCTGGGAATCTGTTTTCTAATCTGTAAGAGCCTGATAACCAGCCTCGCTTTGCCTGCTTTGCCCCTCACCATGCTGTTGAAAAGGTGTATGTATATGTGTGTGATTTGTATCTACGAATATAGTCTATAATATGTAACTATATTATATAAAATATAAATTATAAGTCTGTAACTAATAAAGTGTACATATCATGTTCAGAGTAGCTGAACGTGATTAGGGCACCAACAAATAATGCGGATTCCTCCAGAATCTCCCTCTTTGCTCTGCGGACAAGTTCACGAAGCGGGAAAGCCCGCTGTTTCCCCAGAGTTTCCCTCTAGGCATGGAGGGCAGGAGCCAGCGCCCTGTGTGTTCCTGGGCAGTCTTTCAGCACTTAGAGCAGATGGCTTCACCTTTATCAGTCTCTTAAGGCAAAGAGCAAATCGTTGCTCCAGAGCCAGAAAAGCCTTTCTTATGACCCACAGAGGGAAGGGGAGGTTTTTACCCAGGGCTGGGGCACAAACAAAGTCTTGGGAGGCCAAGGGCAGGAGTTGAGCTGGGAGAGGACCCTGAGGGCTGAGACATGGCAGGGGATACCTGGGCAGGGAACCCAAGGGGGGTGGGCTTTTTCTGACTCCTCAGCCTTCTGGAGTTTTAGATGGTGTTATTTGTATCCCGTTTATAGGTCACTTACTGAGCTAGTAAATTAAATGTCAAAAAGTGGAGACAAAACTCAGACCCAACCTCTTCCTCCATCACCAGCCTGAAATCTCTAAGCTCTGCTAAGTTAAAATGGGCAGGCTTACTTCCCTCACTCCCTTCCCCAAAGCCCCCTTTAGAAGCAGATAAGGAGGAGGCAGGGAACAGTGCCAGAAGAGTGGGCATGCTAGACTATGCTTTGGGAGTTTGTGCAACCAGGAAATTTATATTGATAAAGAATTTTTACAATACACAAAGTGCTTTCAAGTGAAACAAAAGATGTAATTATCATTTTACCCTAAAACAAAAACAAAAGAAAAATGCTGGGAGGTAGGTAATGTTAGTTGACGGGACTCATTCTATCAGAAAACATAAATGGCAGAGTTGGTATTGGAACTTAAACCTTTGCCTGTGTTCTTTCTAGTGCCTCGTGGTCCTGCTATTTCAGTGCCTTGGAGCCTAGGATTCTCCAGGTGCAGGGACCTTACCCCTTGGAAGTTTCGTCTTGGGGTCATGTCTCTGGCATTTGCCTGGGCGAAGAGGACGGCGTCATGTATGCTGGGAAAGACGTGATTGCATTCTAGACTCCCATCCTCAAAGACGCCTCCATGGCTAATGTCATTGTACACCTGGGCTAGAAGGAGAAAAGGTCACCTTCAGAAAGATAACAGCCATTGTGGGTTGGAGCTGGGGTGGGGAAGGTGGCGAGACCCGACTCAGGACGGAAAGGAGAGGCCTGAGGTCGGAGCTCTTGCTGTATCTGAGGGCCATGGCATTGGCATTGCAATATCAGTTCTGGACGGCAGAGGGCAACGTGAACTTGAGGATGCTGAACTTTCAACCCAGGGCAGAAGGAAGCAGTTTGATTTAGGGAGTCGGTACTTTGTGGTGATTTGGGTGGTAAAGCCTAAGCCGTCCTTGAGGAGGTTTCTGCCAGTTCTATCCCCCAAGCATCCATCCTTCCTCTTGTTTTCCTGGACCTTTCCAGCAACTTTCAATGTGTGGCAGAACTATTACTCTTAATCCTAGAGATGGTTTCCTGAGGGGGTGTCCAGAGAGGCTGGGTAGAATCCACTGCTTCTAACTTCACAGCATATCATAGCAGGCCATGGCCACTGCAGATCTTCTCCCTGATCGTGGCCATGCGGAGCTTGGGACCTGTGGCCCTGCTGGAGTGGGTGTGACCCAGTGCAGGGGGCTGGGTGTGTGTGTATGCGCCCCTTCACTTGCTTCTGTGTGTCTGTGTGCACTTGTGCCCACGTCTCTGCACTTTGCATATATGCTAATGATGTAAATGTCTGCTGCTCTGTGGCCACGCCCTTAAGGCTGTGTATGCACACCTTTGGAGACTGTGTGCCTATATAACTGCATATTTATATGGTCCCTGGAGAATCAGGGTGCTCTGTGCTTTATATCTATATAGATTCACGGAGATTCTGGTTGGGAGAGGATCCCCAAATCCATCTAGTCAACCCTCTCATTTTACATAGGTAGAAATAGATCCCTTGATAGATAAAGTGACTCCTCCAAGAATACACGGCACATTAGTTACGGGTAGATTAGAATCCTAGCTGTCCTTTTGTAACCCCATGAGCTCTCATCCCCACTCTGTCACCAGGACCCCTAGGATGTTTATGCAATCTGACCGGTCTCTTTGGACTCATACCTGAAGCTTTTATGAGCAGGCAGCCGCTTGGGGGGTTATCTGAGTGCTCTCATTTCCAACCTACTTACTATTCAGACCCCACCAACCTGTTCCTACCCCACCCGCCTTGCCAGCCTTTCAGTCCCTAAACGTCCTCTTTCTCTTACCATGGATGTTCACCAAGAAGACCTTCACACCGATCTTCCCATAGGTGGAGCTCAGCTGGAAGTGTTGGGGTAGGGAGGCAAAAGGAAAGGAATGTTCTGAGTGGGTCTCAAAAGTGATTCACAAAACGTACTTCAGAGGGGAAGTCAAACAAATAAGCAACCCCGAGAGCCCAGCAGCCAAAGATAAAAATAGCAGCAAAGCACACCACTTTTCCCTGGAGTGTTGGCTGACGGCTTCTTTGGGACAGGGGGCGGAAATGGGGTTTTGCCAATGTGGCAGGCACTTAAAGTCACCATGACCCCTTCTTGTGGGACTAGATCTCTTCTTTCAGTAGCTTAGATTTTCCCAGACTCCTCTGTGGCTTCAGGCAGAAGCCGCAGGGGAGGACGGAGGCTCAGGGAGTCTAGAGCTTCAGCCAAGGCTGGCCTGGACTCCAGATCCCGGCTAAGGAAGCCGGCGGAGGCCCAAGGCTGGGGATGGGGACTTCCCCACACCTGGTTGATGGTGAACGTCAGTCCAAACACTCTCTGTGCCTGTTGTTTCCCTGGCTTGTCTCTATCTGAGCCAGCTCTGAGGTTTGCTGACTCCCCACCATTGGCGGTGGCTGCTGGCAAGTTATCAGATAGATACATTCATTCAGGGTGTCCCGTGCGCTGTCTGTCTGGCTTGATGGTGTGGGGCACTGCTGTTATTTCTTCTCCTCTCCTAGGCTGGCTGGTGAATGAGGGACAAGGGCAGCAGATCATGAACCAGGAGCCAAACTGGACTCTCCTCAGAGCCCCTGGGTGGGTTCCTCGGAGGGACTTGGGATGGCCTCTGCTGGGGGTGTTGGGAGCACAGGGGGCCTGAAGCTCTGATAGACCTCTCCAGCCATGTGTTGTCACTGGCTGTCTGGGATCGCTCTGCGGAGAACATCCTATTCTGGTAGCGTCTGGGTAAAGGAGGGGTTCCTAGGAGCCTTTAGCCTCCGTGGTGAGTTTTGTCCCTCAGCTCCCTGAAA